TCCTCTTCTCTAGGAACCATGATCTCAAAGCTCCCCAGTGCCCGTCATTGAGTAGAACGGGGTCATCCCTTCTCTGTCGGGGTGCTCCCTCCTTGGACCTGATCGCACACTCACACTCTTCCCTCCCCTGCCCTGCCACATCCTTTCCAGAACCATCTGCTGTCTCCTGTCAGGTTCTTCCACTGGCTCAGGCCACTACCTCCCCTTTCTCCTCAGGCTTCCTTATTCTCATCCTCACCTCATCTCACCCTCCTCCTCTTCTCTCTTCCCTTGTAATCAAGCCACTGCGCACAATTCTTTACACCAAGCGAGTGCTTCCTCCTCCTCTTCCTTTTCCTGGCCTCCACTGCTTCCAGCTCTCCTCCTTTGGGCCCGGGACGCACCCCTGCCCATCAGCCTTGCGCTCCCACTCCCCGATGACATCCAGACCCCCCTTTGCCCTCCTTCTCTCTAGGCCACCATCCCCTCATGCACGGATTTTAAGACCCCACTCTCACGCTCCGTCCCATTCTGCCTTGCCCCCTCTGCTGTTCCCTGGATCCAGCCTCCCAAACAAGAGCCCCTGCTGCTCAAGCCCTCACCGTCCTGCCCTCGGCTCGCTCCCTCTGTGCTGCCCCCATTACCTTCTCAGACGAGACCCCTGACACCCCACTGGCTTCGGAGGTCCCCCTCCTCCCTCCTTCCCTGTGTGCAGCCCCCACCACATGCTGGACCTGCACCCTTCCCAACACCCCTGGAAGAGCAAAAGCTCAGTCAGTGATGGTTGGGCAATGTCAGCTCGGCCTGCTCCTCCCCCACTCCGCTGCCATTTGACGCACGTTTGCTGCCTGCACTCTGCACTGCAGCCACAGGAGCCCAGCCCAGATCCCTGAGGTTACCTGCCAGTGGCTTCTCTGTAGGGTCCGGCTTAATGTGCGGTGACACCCAGGTTCCTCAGTTTTAGCGCAGCCATTGGGTTTCCTTTCCCAGGTCTCCCGATGCTCCGGCTATGAGGTCTCACCTCTGCACTGCAGCTCCTGGCCGGTCTCAGTACCGCACGTACCCCCTCCCCCTGACATCTGCCGAAGTCCCACATCGAGGGCTCTTCAGGCTGCCTTCCCCCTTCCACGGTGCCCCCTTCACTGACCCTGGGCCCCTCAGGCATTCCTAAGGCTCTCTCCCTTCTTCTGTGATTCCTGTCCCCGGTCTCGTCCCTTCTGCCCCCTGAGCAGTGCCCCTACCACCTGTCAGTCATGAGAAGGATGCAGCGTTCTTTTCCTTGACCGGCCCTCATGCTCATGCTCCTGGGAGGGCCAGCTTCCCTGTCCGCAGTGTCCTGTACTGAGTCCATCTGCCATCCAGATTTCCCCCTAAGCGCCCTAACCTTGCCGAGTCCGCCAGACGGGAGAAGGTCACTGCTTCTCCGGCCTTCTCTATGACCTTTCCTCTCGCCGTGCCCTGTCTCCAACATTTTCGATCGCCACTACCTCTAGGACCTCGTTCTCCTCTGGCCTCACCCCGCCTCTCCCGAGTTCCTCGCGTGCCTCGCCTGCGCTGTGCTCCTCCTCCTGCCCACGTGGGCTTCCTCTCCCCTTTCCTGCCCACTCGGGGGCAGGGACCCTGGATTCTCCACATCCACTCTCTCCTGTGTGTTCCCTGATGCCCTCCACAGGCCTTTCCTTGCCCGGCGCCATCGCCTGCCCCTCCTCCCTCTCCTGGCCCGTTGGACCACCTCTCGTCCACCACACTCTCCTCCACCACACTCTCCCAGTTGTTCGAGGCCGCTCACCTGGTCACCTACATCCTCGGCCCGCTTTCAGGGTCTCTCCTGCTCTCGCGCTACTGCACACATAGCAAAGGAACTGTGCTGCCTGATCCGTGTGACATTCTTGCAGCTACCGTCTGTCACTCTTCCAGCTGGACTCAGTACTTTCCTGTGCTGCGTGCTCCCTTCTTGACCCCCCCACCCCCACCTTCCGCTCAGCCCAGCTCCATCATCTCTGCTTCAGACCCACTGCACCGACCCTGCACGCTCCGCCCCCGACCCCGGCTCATGAGCCAGGCTGCGCTCTCCTCCCAGGTCCCCGCGGTGTTGCTCCTGTAACTCTCACGTTTCCATCCAGACCCCTCGTTGCACGCTCTCCTGACCCAGCTCTCGGGAAACCCCTGCCTGATTCCCCTTTTTCCTTCCACCTTCTTCTCACCTCCTTGCCCCCACACCTGGCAGCCCCACTCCCGACACCAGCACACTGAGTCTGGACCCGCACAGAGCCCTGGGCACCGCTGTCCGCCCTCCTTCTCTCCTCCTCCCTCCGATTGCTCCTCTCTCCCCCACAGCCTCTCCTGCACTCTTGTGTCCCATCTCTTCTCATGCCCACACCCCTCCTATCCCGCACACTTCATGACTCAGGCAGGTGACAATATCTTTGGTCTAATTCTCTTTCTAGGTGCTTGTCACTGTCCCTTTCAAAAGTTTACCCCTCCTCATTCAGCTCTGTGACACCTTGTGGTCGTACTGTCCAGCTGTGTCTCCTGACAGACAGGTGTTTCCCTTCTGCCTTCCCTGCAGCCCCTCTCCCTTGTCCTCTCTGGGTGGATTCAGTGGTCTCACCCTCCCTCTTCTCAACGTAGTCATCACCCCCAGCACTGGACTCGCAATCATTCCATAAGCTCAGAGTAGATGATTTTCTCAGTGCCTGGAGCTCCTTCTCCCTTCCCCACCATCCCCACTGATCCCAACCCTGCCCTCACATCCAATCCAGTCAAACTCAGTTTGTACCCCAATCCTGAACCCTGTCCCAAACCACACCCCACCC